GGGGGGGGGGGGCGGGGGGTACACAAGCTTTGCAACCTGGGGAGGAGGAAGAGGACGGAGGCAACGGGGTGGAGGGTGCACTTGACAGCTGCTTTTGAGGAGCGGGGGGGGGTGTTTGGGGGGTCTACGGTCCACTAACCCGGGATTGCAGCCCTCGGCTTGTCTGAACGGGAACTGGGGAGGGGGTTTGGAGAGCGGCCTTTGTTGGCCGGGCTTTGCAGTCCGGCCTCCCCCCTCCACACACACACATCCTACACCCCCCCACACACACACCCCGACCGGCATTCGGGCTTCTTCGGGGCAGAAACGCTCCCTCTGAGAAAGCCTGGAAGTTGGGCCGGGCAGGGAAAGGGGTCCTTGGGGAGGATGGGGGGTCGGGGGGGAGGAATAAGGAAGGTCCTCTCCACCTGGTCCAGGCAAGGTCGCTCCTGCCAGAGTCCCACGGAATCTCTTTTCGCCGGAATCTCTTCGGGTGGGGGGGAGAAGCTGGGAGATTCACCATCCCTGAGCATCTTTGAAGTGTGTCTGGTGGGTTTGGAGTGGGGGGGGGGGGGGGGGGTAACGGCAGGAGATGCGTTGAGGGAGCCTTGCTAACACAACAACGACTTCAAAGGTGTGTGTGTGGGGGGCGTTTGTTTGGAGACCCACCACGCAGGAGGAAAGAACAGAGGCAGGGATTCTGGTTCCCACGCGACCCCTCAACCGAGTCCTGGGATCCTGGGGGGGGGGTGGGGGGGAGGCTCCCCTCTCTAAACAGACAACTGTGTGTGGGGGGGCAATGGCGACGAGGCCTTTGGAAGTGGGAAATCTTTATAGAGACACCCCCCGCCCACCCAAAGCCTCTGCGAGAAAAGGTTTTTGCAGAGGAATTATTATATGATTAAAGATTTAATCTTCAATTCGATTCACAGTCTGGGACCGGTAAAAACTTAACAAGTCCTAACCAAGGGGACCTAAGAGCTATTAAGGTTGTTGTTGTTGTTGTTGTTGTTGTTATTATTATTATTATTATTATTATTATTATTATTATTATTATTATTGGTTAATCTTCGATTCAGAGTCTGGGACTGGTAGGACATACTAGTTCAACTCCTAACAAGGAGCTGTTATAATAAACTCTGAGTATAGCTAGTTCCAAGTAAGGTGTCCTCCAATAATAATAATAATAATAATAATAATAACAACAACAACAACAACAACAATAATAATCACAGTCAGCCAGATGTTCAGGCTGGATTTGGCATTTTTGTCTACCCGTCTAGTCCTTTCCATTCCAAGGAGTTGGGATAGGAAGATCTGGATGTTTGATGGGGCTACAGATATCATGGCAGGATCTGGCATTTTTGCCCACTTATGATTAATTATTACTATTCTCTGACAAACGGGCATCGGTGGAGCTATCTGAAGTTCAGGAATCTTAAATCTGGCTGCCTTAGTGCCTTCATTTCTTTGTTTTTTTCGAGCCTGCAATCCTGCCCAGAAAATATCCTTTTGACGCCAGACTTCTTCAGATTCCACCCCCCCCCCAAAAAAAATCTATTGTTAAACTTCGATTTAGGCAAAGGCGCTTTCTTGAACTTTATTTGGGGAGGGGGGAGAGGGGGAAAAGGGCGAGGCAAAGAGGCACGTGCCAATTTAAACACGCGCGTCCGAGACCCCCTCCCCAATAAACTCAGCTTTCAAGTGAGGGCTAAACTCTAAGGAGAGAAAATAAAAAACAAAAAAACGAAAAACGCCAGAGCGAAATCCCTTTTAGAAATTCCCCGTTATTCCCATTCCCCCTCAACCTTCCACTTCTTCGAATAATGTATTTTTAAACAGCCGCTTTGGTTTCCAAAGAAGGGCGCTTTTCGGAGCAAAAGGTGTAAGCCGCCTTGGGTCGTCCTGGGCGAATAGGCGGCAATATAAATGTTCTAAAATAAAATGAATAAAACGGGGGAAAAGGTGTAGATGTGGGGCAGATGAGGGTTGCACCAGGCTTGGGGTCTAAAAAAAAATTCTCTCCGTTTCCCCCACGACTGGACGTTTTGAAGATAGTCTTGCCTGGAAACGCTTCTAAGGAGATTCCTATCGGGGTGCGTGTGTGTGTGTGTGAGTGTGTGTGTTTTTTTTGTGGGGGGGGACGGGTTCAGCTTCGTTTCCTTTAGCTCCCTTTCTGCTTTCCCTCCCCAGACTCGGTGGATCCGGACAAGGAAAGTCCCGGGTGCAAGAGACGAAGGACCCGGACGAATTTCACGGGTTGGCAGCTGGAGGAGCTGGAGAAAGCCTTTAACGAAAGCCATTATCCCGACGTCTTTATGCGGGAAGCCCTGGCCTTGCGGCTGGATCTGGTGGAGTCGCGAGTGCAGGTAAACGGGGGGGGGGGTGCCGCTTGCCCCTTCCTAGCTGCCCAGGGCTGGGACCTAAGCAGGCCTGCCTCTCCTCCGTCTTGGGCCACAGGCCCTAGCCGAGGCGGAGAAGCTGCGGTCGCTCATCCGTTTCTCCGGCTCCGCATTCCCTTCTCAAGGCCTGCGCAATTGCGCCGTCCGAGCTTCTTCCTTCAGGGAGGGGGCAAATTTGCAATTGTTGGGGTTATTTTTTTCCTCTTCTTTCCTCTCCTCCTCCCCCCCTCTGAAAAAAGACAGCCACTATTTGCATCAAACGAATCGAATCGTCTTTAAATTTTTGGTCCTATATGATCAACGTGGCGTTTTGCGTTTGTGGGGGAGTAGGGGCGCGATCGGATGGGATGGGGGCTGCAAGAATGTCGTGGTAAATCCTGGAATGCTTTTAAATCCTACCCTCCCTGTGACTTCATTCCATCCCTCGGCCCTTTCTCCCTACTTATCCACCCACCCGCAAACGCGCCTGCTTTTAATACTCCACCCCACTCGAGCTTCAAAGGGGCCAATTAATTGGGTTCAAGAACCCAAGGTTTGAATTTGGAAGGCTGGAGGAGGGAGGGGTGAGCTCTCTCAGCTTGGCAAAGCCCCTCCATGATCTCTCCCCCCCCCAAAAAAGCACCCCCAAAGCTAAGATCCCCCAAAGGCCCCTTGGAATGAAATTCCAAGCCTACAATCAGGAAGATATCTCTATCGAGGCGATGTCGCCCTGAAATGCCTCTCAGGCGCCTTTGGAAGATGCATAAAAATAACATTCCAAAAGGCAACGAAACATTTCCCGGTGCTTTGCCTTCTCCCACGAGTAGAGGTTCCGATTAATCTAAGCACAGGCCTGGTCTAAAAAGTGTATTTACAAAATCCTCCCTCCCTCCCTGCCTCCTTTTGACCTCTCCTATTTCGAAATCCTTTTATCCAATCTGTTCAAGGGTTTTGACTGAAGTCAAGAACCTTGATTTCCCCTCTAATACGATAATTAGTAATTCTGCCTGACAAGGGCTGGAGGAAGCTACCACCGAGGCAAGTTAAAAAAAACAAAACAGGAAAATAACAGGAATGGCGATCAGCTCCCAGCCCAGCCGATTTTACCTTGGGGACGGCTAACAAAAAAAGAAATAAAACGCAATCTGAAATAAAACCGGCTATTCAAGAAACCCTCTCGCCCTTTTCCTTAAAACAAATAATAAAATAAGGCAACAACGGTCGTAATTCTCCCGTTTAAATCGCCGTTTGGTTTGGAAAACTGATCGTTTAAATGAACGAGTCTTAAATTGTTCTTTTCCCCCCTCAACGTGCTTATTTAATTTTTTTTAAAGTTTTCTCCGTTGAGGTTTGCAATAGGAATGAGCGACGGAAAGACCGATTAGGAGGGTTGTTTTTATTGTGGTTACCATTTAGAAAAAAATAATATGATTTTTTAAAAAACCGCGGACATTTTTCAGAGGAGATTATTCCATTGAAGAGCTAATGTCAAATCATGGATGACCCAAACCTCCCTTCTGAGATCCGTTTTTCTCCCCCCCCCACAATTTCCCCCCTCAAAGATAGCTGGTTACTCCCCGTCGCCCCCCCCCCAACCCCCCAGGCTACAAATTGTGTTGTCTCCGCGTTTTCACTCCCATCTCATTAAGGTTTAAAATTGGGATTAAAATTGTGGGAAAGGGCTAAATATGGCCAGCTCCTTCGGGAGGTTGGCTTTTGTTTTTTTTTCGAGGTGGGGCCGTTAAGCCTTGATCTTCGAAGGGGGTCAGAGTTTTTCTTTCCCCAATTCCACCCCCCCCAAAAGAAAATCCTAGCCAGGAGGCGACAGAGGCGGCGGCGGCCTTGGAGCTGCAGAGAAATTCAATTCCCGCTGCGAAACCCCAGCGAGATACGCTCCTACCGAGGTAGACCGATTCTCCTCCAAGGTTCCCTAAATTTGTCAAGTGTTAGAGACCCTCAAACTCTCGGTCCTTTGTGGTGAAACCCGCCCCGACCCCCACCCTTCTCCGCTATCCGCTCCGCAAGGGAGGTGGTGGGTTGCGTGCGGATGTTTCTTACTACAAAGTTCTCCACTCCTGATTTCTTCCCATCCCTTCCGCGCAATTCCTGCCTCTCACCCTCTTGTGGCAGCGATCTTTCATTTAAAAACAAAAAAACCCTAAGATATAAGCCCCCCCCCGCCCCTCCCAAGCCGTTGTAGAAACAGAGAACGCGTAGGATCGCTCCTCAGGCCCAAACCCTTCTTTGGGGGAATGGCAAAGAACGGACGCTGGGGCAAAGGATGCGGCGTGGGCTGTATGCAAGCAGTCGTGGGGGGTGGGGGTGCGTGGAGAAGCAGAAACCCTGTTCCCCAAAACTCCCTTCATACCCCCCCCCCCCTCGTGGACTGGGAAGAAAGGACCAGGGGAGCGGAGGGGGCAAAAAAGCCCCCTTGATATTTTGAGCCGAATCTCCTGGCTTTCTTTCCTTACGCTTGTCAACTCCTCGCCTTCCTTCCTCAGCCTTTGCGAACTTTTCTGCCTGGGGTAGAACCTCCCCCGGTCTCTAAAAAAGCAAAAAAAAAACCAAAACAAACCCCAACAACCTAAGACCCCCCTTTTCCCTGCTTTCTTCTAAATATCCGTCAAAAGGCGGCGCGCAAACCGCCACATACTCCGAGGACTAATTCTCTGTTTTTTAGCGGTTCGCCTGCTTCCTCCGTTACTGCCCAGCCCCACGCGCGGAGGGCCCGACCTGGGTGTCTCTCCCCCCACCCCCAACCCGGCCTCCAGGTGCGGGGCGGGGAGAGGGACCCCGGCGCTTAACGGCTTCTCCTTCTCCTCCTTCTCCGGTGTGTAGGTCTGGTTCCAAAACCGCCGGGCCAAGTGGCGCAAGAAAGAAAACACTAAAAAGGGTCCCGGCCGGCCGGCCCACAACTCGCACCCCACCACCTGCAGCGGGGAGCCCATGGATCCGGAGGAGATCGCGCGCAAGGAGCTGGAGAAGATGGAGAAGAAGAAGCGCAAGCACGAGAAGAAGCTGCTGAAAGGCCAGGCCCGCGGCCTCCACTCGCCCAGCGGCCTCTCGGTCAACAGCAGCACGCAGAGCTCCGACAGCGACGGCGGGGGAGGCGGCGGCAGCGGCGGGGGCGGCGGCGGGGGGGGGCGGCCTCTCCCCGGACCCGCCCGACAGCTGCAAGACGCCCTCGAGCAGCGGCCACCATCACCACCACCACGCGCCCTTGCCCGGCGGGTGCGACCCGGCCGCCGCCTCGGCTTTCTACCCGGGCCGCTGCGCCGCCAAGGACCACCCGGGGGGCCCGTCGGGATCGGAGTGCGCGGGGGGCCCCCCTGCCCTGCCCGGCGGCTACCCCAAGCTCAACCCCTTCAGCGTGGAGAGCCTTTTGTCGGACTCCCCGCCTCGGCGGAAAGCGGCGCTGGACTTCTCGCCGGCCCTGGCTCCGTGCGCCCCTGCGGCGCGCACCCTGATCGGCAAGGGCCACTTCTTGCTCTACCCCATCACGCAACCGCTGGGCTTCATCGTGCCCCAGGCCGCCCTGAAGAGCAACCCGGCCCAGGAGGCTCCCCAGCGGGGCTCCCCGCTCCCCGCCGCCAACCCCAGCCCGGACCCCGCGCCCCCCAAGAGTAGCAGCACGGCCGCCATCTCCACGCCGGGCACCGACGGCGGCGGCGCCTCCTCCTCCTCCTCCCTGCCCAGGAAGGTCCTGGCCTCGCCGCTGGCCGCCCCCTGCTCCTCCTCGGCCGCCTCCCCCGCGCCCTACGGCGGAGACTCGGCTTCCCAGGGGGAGGGCAGCGGCGGCTCCTCGTCGCCCCCCAAGTCGCCCCCCAAGGAGGCCGCCCACGCCGCCAAAGGCAACCCGGATTGCCGCACGACGGAGCGAGACTGTGCGACGGAGACCAACAGTTTAGACTGTGAGGAGGTGGATATGGACTAGGACGGGGGGAGGGCGGGGGGGGGCCGGTTGGGCACCTTTATCTGCTAGATTCCTTGCGGGCGGGGGTGGGGGTGGGGGCGATGGACCAGTCGAAACTTCTCACATTCCCAAAGTTTTTCCTCTTAGATTCAATCCATTTCCACCCCCCTGCCCGCCCCCCCAGTTCACGACCTCTATTTTTCCATTCTTCTTCTCGCCTCCCCCCCCCCAAAAAAAACCTTCCCAGGTTGTAACTTTGCCCTCTTCAAATCAGGTGACCGGTATATTTTTTTAAAGTGGCGGGGGGGTGGGGGGGAGAGAGAAGGATAATTTTTTTAAATATAATTTAATTTTATTCTCTTTGGTTTCCTTCCCAAAAGAAGCTCCGAGCGTCAGGGGGTGTCAGGGGGTGTGTGTGCGCGTGGGGAGGGTATTTTTCTTTGGCCCGAAGCTGGACTTGACCTGAATGCAAATTGTTTTGTTTTTGTTTTGCTTTTGTTTAAAAAAAAACAAAAAAAACAACCCCTCAACCAACCAGACACAACAGCGACTCCTCAAACCTTGTAAATTGCAAAAATGTTTAAAGATATTTATATATGTAAAAAAAAAAAAGAGAAAAAAATTACACACTTTTTTTTTTGATAAATAAAAATCTGTTTAAAAATCAGACCTGGCATTTTTCTTCGTCTTCGCTTTAAAAAAAAAAAAGAAAGAAAATAAAAATAAAAATACCCCCCCTTTTTAAAAAGAAACAGCAATAACCTCCTGGTTAAAATGGAGAGGGGTCGTTTTGGATTGGATTTGAAAGAGTAGCTTCAAAAGGAGCGAGGGGTTTGTTTAAATAAATAAAAAACATTATTATTATTATTTTCAAAAAAACTACCTTTTAACGCTTGTTTCTAGCTATGCCCTCCGCGGGTTCATTGCTTAACAAATATATTCCGCCAAGGCCACCGCTTTCCGTATTATTATTTTTTTCCAGGCTCACCGTCACTCCCCCTAACCTCCTTTCTCACCCCCTCCTCCCCCTCCCCGCCCCCACACCCCACCAGCCCCCTCCCCACACGAGGTTAGCAGCTTCAGGCTGTAAGGACCAGGCCAGCTCCTGGTGCGTTTTGATATGAAAGTAATTATTTTCCCGTTGGCGGCTGCGGGGATTCGCTTTTCTCGCCCAAAGGGTTATTATACATTACCGATTTCTAGTGATATGAAATCACATAAACTTCCTACAATAATAGAATTAGCATGAAAGGCTGGGGTGTCAAATTGAAATTGGAAAATAATAGCCTCGGTAGCTGAGGGAGGTGGGCGCGCATATTGGAGCGGAGATGGGAAGACGTGGGCCGGAATTTTCATGAGGGGGCTGGCACCGGCCCCCTCCCGGGCTGAGCTTCCCTCTTTTCTTCTCCCTCCTCCCCCCCTTTGTCAGTCCTCTTGTAGCTAGCTATATTAAGATAGATGTCCAATGATATGTTTCATTGTTCTGTCGCTTATATTGATGTTGTGGCGTTATCAGCCTATTGATCATATGTCGTGCGTAATAGGACAGGCGCCGCAAATGTTCGCCCCCTTTTCTCTCTCTCTCTCTCTCTCTCTCTTTATACAAAAGGCGAACGCATTTGTTCTAATAGGGTTGGGGGTCCTTGGGGAACCTTTGGGGGTTGGAAGACAGCTGCACCAAAGATATATTAGCAAACTTGGCTGGGTCTAAAAATAATAATAATAAGAGTAAACACACACACACACACCCCTCACACAAAAACCTGCCACCGCAGCCTTCAACCCAACAATCTTTTTAAAATCAATCTATCTATCTATCTCTCCCGCCCGTCTCTTGAAATTTGCAGGGTGCTTAAAACTCCAAGCAATTCCCCTGAAATTGTCTTGCCAATTATTAAAACCATTAATTCTGGTGAGTCTGTGCGCAGTGGAATTATGTTTACAGCCTCGTTAAATATCTCTGATCCCTTCTGGTCATCAGGCCTTTATTTGCAAATAAATTGAAAATAATCAGAAGGACTGGAACGGTTTTCTTTCTTTCTTTCTTTCTTTCTTTCTTTCTTTCTTTCTTTCTTT